CGACCAGGGTTCAAAATGATACCAGAGAAAAACCCCAATCAGAATTTGGGGGGGGCTATGGGGCTTTAGGGCTTTAGGGCTATGGGGCTATAGGGCTATAGGGCGATGTGGCCATAGGGATATAGGGCTAGAAGCCTTTAGGGCTATGGGGCTATAGGGCTACAGGGCTATAGGGCTAAGGGCTATAAGGCTATTCGGGCTGTAGGGCTATATACGGCTTTAGGACCATAGGACCATAGGGCTATAGGGCTATAGGGCTATAGGGCTATAGGGCTATAGGGCTATAGGGCTATAGGGCTATGGGGCTATGGGGCTATGGGGCTATTGGGCTATTGGGCTATTGGGCTATAGGGCTATCGGAGGTGAGGGGGTGTGATCGAAGTGGAACGGCGAGCCCCCCACCGGGAAATCGGTTTCGGTTTCGTGTTCGTGCGTGCCGTGCGTGCGAGGCGAAGCTGCGTGGGCGGGCGAGAAAAAGTCTCCTGTGGCTGAGGCGCGGCCGGACCAAATGTTTCTCTTCCGGGGCGCGGGGCCCCGCGGTGTCCCGCCAGTGTCCCGCGGTGTCCTCCTGTGGCTGAGGCGCGGCCGGACCAAATGTTTCTCATCCGGGGCGCGGGGCCCCGCGGTGTCCCGCCGGTGTCCCGCGGTGTTCCGCGGTGTCCCGCGGTGTCCCGCCGGTGTCCCGCGGTGTCCCGCGAGGATGATGTTGATGAGATGATGATGATGATCATGATGATGATGATGATGATGATGATGACGATGATGATGCTGATGATGAGATGATGATGATGGTGTCCCGATGAAGATGATGATGATCTTGATGATGGTGTCGATGATGATGACAGTGTCCCGATGATGAGGATGATGATGCTCATGATGATTATGTTGATGATGATGACGATGATGGTGTCCCGATGATGATGATGATGATGATGATGATGATGATGATGATGATGATGATGATGATGATGATGATGATGATGGTGATTCCGATGATGTTGGTGATGATGATGTTGACGGAAATGGTGTCCCGCCGATAATGATGTTGATGATGATGATGTTGATGATGATTTTGGTGTCCCGATGATGATGATGATGATGATGATGATGGTGATGCTGATGGTGTCCCGATGGTGATAATAATGAGAATGACGATCTTGATGGTGATGTTGCTCATGATAATGGTGCTCCAATGATGATGATGTTGTTGATGATGATGTCGATGATGATGATGATGCGATGATCATGATGATGATGGTGTCCCGAGGATGATGACGATGTTGATGATAGTGTTGATGATGAGAACGATGGTGATCATGATGGTGTCACGATTCTGAGATGATTCTGATAATGCTGCCGATGATGATGAAGATGACTGTGTCCCGATGACGATGATGATGATGTTGGTGATGAGATGATGATGGTGGTGATGATGATGGTGATGATGTTGTCCCGATGATGATGCTGACGTTGATGATGATGTTTATGTTGATGATGACGGTGCCCTCATGATGATGACGATGTCGGTGATGATGTTGATGTTGATGATGTTAATGATGATGATGGTGATGACGATGATGATGATGATGACGTTGATTGTGAAAGCGGTTGTGATATCGATAGTGAGATCGATATTGAGACCGAATGTGAGACCGATTGTGAGATCGATTGCGAGATCAATTGTAAGATCGGTCGAATGAGACAGATCGAGTGATATCGATTGTGACATCGATCGAGTGAGATCGATCGAGCGAGACCGATAGTGAGATCGATATTGAGATCGATAGTGAGACCGATCGAGTGAGACGTTGGTCTTCCCGCCCCCCGAACCTCTTTATCACCCGAAGGGTGGTCGTATAGGTACGGTTATAGGGCTATAGGGCTATAGTGCTGTAGGGATACATGCTTAAATATTGGAGCTGCTTAGCCTAGTTGGGAGGTGTTTGTGGCTGGGCTCAAGTTTCTCGTGTTCGGGCATATGTTTCGCAACTGATTTAAGAATTTTGCAAGTGTTGTAAGTATTTGCTGTGCGTTGTAAGTATACTCGGGGAACTTATAAGTATGTGTCAGCCTTTGAGCACCGAGTTAAGTTACTTAGTATGTGCAGCTCAGTAACTTAGTTGTACTTAGCATTAAGTAGCTTAGGATAACTTAGTGACACGTATGCGGAACTTACAATTTTCCGACATCTCCTCCCCCTTCCCCCCCCCATTCCCCCCCGCGCGCGCCCTCCGCGCGGCTGGCGCGCCTCGCCGCGGGGCGTGCGCAGAGGCGTGCCAAGGGGGGGATGAGAAGGAGTGGAGATAGCGATGGCGATCGCTTGAGGGAGGTAGTGGGGCAATGGAGGGTAGCGACTGCGATCGCTGGAAGGAGACAAGACCGATAGCGATGGAGATCGCTTGATCGAGCGATGACGATCGCTCCAGTGGAACAATGGAGGGTAGCGATTGCGATCGCTTGAGAGAGGATGAGGGGAGGAACGCCGAAGGGTGATATAGCGGTGTCGACCGCTTGAGCGAGGTACTGGGGGAACGGTTTGGAAGCGATTGTGATCGCTTGTGTGCTTGCGATCACCAGTCGAACGGGGGCGATGGCGATTGGGATCGCTTGGGGGAGGAAGAGGAGGAAAGGAGGAGGGTGCTCATGAGGGAAATAGCGATGGCGATCGCTCCAGGAAGGTAGTGGGATGATGCGGCGATTGCGATCGCCTGAGGGAGGAGGAGACGGGCGGTGATGAGGGAGATAGTCATACCGATCGTTGGGAAGCGTTGGCGGGGCGATGAAGGGTAGCGATTCCGATCGCTTGCAGGGGGACTATGAGAGGATAGTTTAGGAGGCAACCAGCGATGGCGATCGCTTTGGGAAGCTTGTGGGCTGATGGAGGGATGGCGGTGGCGACCGCTTGACGGCGCATGTAGCGATGGCGATCGCTGGGGCAGGTCGCGATACTGTTCGGGGGGAGGGGTTTGGTAGGGGGTGTGGGGTGGGGTGTGTGTGTGTGGTGGTGGTGGGGGGGGGGGGCATAGTGGGGGCGAGTGCGATGAGGGCGCAAAGTGAAGATAAGGATGACACTGCGATATCTAGGATGAGGAATGAGGGGGGGGGGGGGGGGTCGCGAAGAGGGAGGAGGGAACTGGCAGCGATTGTGATCGCTCGAGTGGTCGGAGGGGCCGACTGTGGGAGGGCTCGACGTGTTTGCCGAACGATCTCGATCGCTATGCGGCTACCGCCTTCTGCATGTAATCAGGACGGCAGCCGCTGTGGCTTGGCAGTCAGGGTCGTCGTCGTTGTCGTTTCGGTGCTCTCAGGCACTTGTGGGGTGCATTCTTCGTTGTCGGTCGTCGTCGTTGTCGCCAGTCGTCATCGCTCGCGGACGCTCGTCGTTGTCCAATGCTTTCGAACGTTTTCGAAGGCCTCTCGAGGCTTTCGGATGACCTCTGGAAGGCTTCTGGAGGTTTCCAGAGGCTTCAGGAGGCTTTCTGAGGCCTCGGGAACCCCCGGATACCTCTGGAGGCGTCGCTCGTTGTCGTCACCGTCGCCGTCGTCGCTCGTCGCTCGTCGCTCGTCGTCGTCATCGTCGTCGTCGTCGTCGTCGTCGTCGTCGTGGTCGTTCGTCGTCGTCGTCGTCGTCGCCGCTGTCGTTGTCGTTGTCGTCATGGCTCGTCGTCGCCGTCGTCGTCGTCGTCGTCGTGGTCGCTCGTCGTCGTCGTCGCTGGTCGCTCGTGGCTCGTGGCTCGTCGTCGTCGTCGTCGTCGTCGTGTGCGCGGACGCTTTGATGGCGCTGGAACCGCTCGGCGGGGGGAGGCGTTACGTTTTACTCTCTTCCTGGCCCCCACATGCCGCCCGTTATCGCCGCGAACAAAAATTCGTGTTTAAGGGTCGAGAGGATCGACGAATGTAAATTGCCCACCGACAAGCTAGCGCTGTGTATGCATCCGTGGATTTTCATCCGATGTGCTGAGCCCCGCTTGGCGATTCATTGAACTCCTCCCCTTGAATCTAGAAGGACTCTACTACGACGCCTACAACCGCCCCTTTCCCTTTCGGAATGACCCACGCAGATGCAGCTCATCCTTCATTGTCGGGCCTCTTGGCCGTCTTTGGGGGACATCATTGGGGCCGCTGGGGTCATTTTGGGGCCGTCTAGGGCCGCCTTGGGGGCTTGCCTGCGATCGGCGTCTTGGTGTCCATGGGGGGCGCTGTTCGCAATGCAAGTTGCTTAAGTGTGGCTCTTTTGTCTCTAAGGGGCCCTTGTGCTGCGCACGCGATCCGCCGGCACAGGCAAGACAACTAGTTGTTGTAGCAGCGTCTTGGCGCCGTGCGCCTACCCCGGGAAAGCCGAAACCGGTCTCAGAAAGGTCCCTGTTGGGTCGGTTTGATGCCTCTTGGGGGCCTCTGGGGGCCTCTGGGGGGCCTCTCGGAGGCCTCTTGGGTCATCGAACGCGTTCCACTACTCGCAAAGTGCCTACTCGCAAACGTGGAAAACATGTTTTCCTTTTTACGCAATGCGTTGTAAGTCTCCCGGGGCGGATCCAGGCCACTTGCGAGTAGTTATCTTGCGAGTAGTGGAACGCGCTTGTCAATTGGGGTTCCCTTGGGGGCATGTTGGAGGTTTTGGGCCTGGGGGCTGTCCTGGGGGGGTCGGCGCCCGAGGCCCCTTCGAGCTCGCCCCTCCTTTGGATTAGGTCGGACATGTCCCCGTGCAGGCAGATTTCGGGGTTAAAATAAGAGGTAGCCCAAACATGTTAAATAATGGTCAGAACTAGTCGAAAAAGAATCGTCCCAGACTATTTTTTTACTATGTTTGAATTTCCCTCCTGTAGAAGGACAGGCCCGACTTACCCCTTGGGCCCGATTAGGGGCCCTCATGGGGGTCCCTTGGCAAGTCTTGGGGGCTTTGGGGCCATGGGCCATTTTTGGTTCTCTCTCCTCTTGGGGACCTTCTGGCTTCTCTTGGGGCGATATTGGGGGCCTTTTAGGTGGTCTTGGACACCTTGAAGGTCGAAAAGGCGAGCGCGTCAAACATGCAGACACGCGACCCTTCCGCCGCGCACCGTCGACCCTGCCGTGCAACAGGATCTTGCCGTGCGGGAAGATCACTCTCACGCTTCGCCGTTGCCACGTTTTTTACAATGCTCCCCCCTGGCTCTCGACGACTGTATGACCCTCCCCCTCTTCCTATTGTTGGGCGAGGGGCTGTGACCATTACCGGCATGCATTTCCGCACGTCCGGTCCGTGCCTTGATACCCTTGATAGTGTTTCTCTTATCGTCGCCCAGACTGGAGCCAATGTTGCGTCTCGGTTAACGCTGGGGAGAAAATGTTTGTGCATGCTACATATGCCACGCAGCCTTTCGCTCCAGGCCTGGGGCGCCCACCGCCTCGAGAGAGGTATGTTGGGAGGAGGAGGAGGAGGAGGAGGAGGAGGAGGAGGAGGACGTAGGAGGACCAGTGCAAATCCAAAACTCATCAACGATGTTGGGGTACACCCTCCCTCCAAGCTCCCTCTCTTCATAGGCCCCGTACAGGGATTCACCCCCAGTGAAAAAATGCCCCGTTGGGAGAACCGTGTGAACATCCTGAAGCGTGCCAAAGCACCGTCCTCAGGGCTTCAACGCGTGAAAAGGAGCTGCCCTCAAGTCGTACAACCCTGGCAATTGGTTTCAAGCAAATGCGCGCGGCGCTAAGGCAGGAGCCACATTTTGACAACGACCCGCCGTCAATCCGTGAAGCTCTTGCATGTGTTTAGAGCGAATGTGCGCGGCGCTACGGCGAGAGCCACATTCTGATACGGGACTGCCCTCAATCCGTAATGTTATTGCAAAGTCTTAGAACGAATGCGCGCTGCGCTAAGGCGGGAGCCACATTTTGACAACGACCCGCCGACAATCCGTGAAGCTCTTGCAGATGTTTAACGAATGTGCGCTAAGGCGAGAGCCACATTTTAAAAACGGCCCGCCCTCAATCCGTGAAACTCTTCCGAATGTTTGAAGCGAATGTGCGCGGCGCTGGGGCGAGAGCTATATTGTAAAAAGGAACCGCCCTCAATCCGCGAAACACTTGCAATTTTCAGAACGAATGCGCGGCGCTAAGGCGAGAGCTACATTTTGAAAACGACCCGCCCTCAATGCGTGAGGCTCTTGCAAATGTGTGTAAGGAATGTGCGCGGCCATACGACGAGAGCCACATTTGGAAAAGCGCTTCGCCCTTCATGTGTGAAACTGCTGTCAATGTTGAAGCATTACGGCCATACATCGTGAGGAAGCATCGGGCGAATCGCTCAGCCCGCCCTTTCGACCAGCCTCGGGGCGCGACAGAGAGGAGTACTGGTAAGGAAAAGGCATAGAGGAGGAGGAGGAGGAGGAGGAGGACGACGTAGGAGGACCAGTGCAAACCCAAGGTTCCTGAATCGTGCCAGAAAGCACCAGACCTGTGATTGCAACACCGCGAATCAAGGTGACTGTTGCGCCCTGGCAATATTGACGCGTTTCCGAAGCACCGTCTCTGGAAGGGGAACCATGAGAACCCGCGAACCCCGGCAAACATTTTAAGACAAATGTGTGCGGTGCCAAGGTGAGAGCCGCATTTTGAAATGGAGCCGCCCTCAATCCGTGAAACACTTGCACTTTTTCACAAAAAAAACAAATGGCTAGGGCAGCAGCCGCATTGTGAAAAGGATTCGCCTTCAATATGTGAAGCTCTTGCATTTTTTTAGAACGGATGCGTGCGGCGCTAAGGCAAGAGTCACATCTTGAAGAAGAACCGCCCTCAAAGCAGCGAGCCTCTTGCAAGTTTTGAGAACAAATGTGGGCGCAAGGCGATATCCACATTTTGAAAACGACCCGCTCTCAATCCACGAAGATGATTCCAATGTTCAAGACGAATCTGCACGGCGCTAAGGCGAACAACACATTTTGGAAACGATCGGTTTTCCATGTGTAGAATTGTTGCTAGATTGTAAGTTCCAGGCTCGAGAATGGTAAGGAAGTCTCAGACGAAACGCCTGGCCCGCCTTTCCGATTGGCCTCGGGGTGCGACAGGGAGGAGTTATTCATAAGGAGAGTGAATGTAGGAGGAGGAGGAGGAGGAGGAGCATGAGGAGGAGGGGGAGGAACGGAATTAGTGTTCCTTCCAATGCGGGGAACTGATCGTCGCTGGCGCCAGCAGCCAGCATACAGCTAGTTCGCAGGCTTGTTGCCGCGGCAGAGGGGGCCATCCCCCCTGACCAGGATCCCGAGCATCGTGCGAAAATATGCAGTGGTGGAGCGCCCGGGCCCGAAGCCTCGTGGCCCGCCAGCCTCTTCAAAGGGCTCCATCCCTTCTCATTGTACCCGTTAGCCAGCGTGGGCCCCGAACAGAGTGTTTCTAGCAGTCTGTGTCGTGCAACCTGTGTTGTGCAAATTATGTAGTGCAGTCTACGGAGTGCAACTTATGTGGTACAACCCATGCTGTGCAATCCACTTTGACCGTCTTGACGCTGTCCTCTCCACTGCTCGTGCTAACATGCCACCCTCCCACCCGCAACTTGGTCGCAAGACCTCTTAAGACAAGACCGTGACGGTGGGTACCACATCATGACACTTGGCCACGACACCGACGCCGACGACGACAGCGACAGCGACGCCGACGGCGCTGCCGACACCGACTACGACGACACCGACGACGTCTCCAACGACTTCGACGACGACAACGACGACACCGACGACGACGACAACGACGACGACGTCAACGACGCCGCCGACGACGACGACGACGACGACGACGACGACGGCGGCGTACGACACGACGCCGACGTCGACAAGCACGACACCGACGCCGACGCCGACGACGACGAAGACGACGACGACGTCCGCCAATGAAACACGACGAGAGAGAAGGACGACGACGGCGACAACGACACAACAACCAGGAAGGAACGCGACGACGCAACGACGAGAAGGAGGAAGACGGCGGCGCACCGACGACGAAAGACAGGTGGATGGATGACGCCGACACACTCAACGACGAGAACGACGACCGACGATACGGCAGCGACATAGTGAGGGACACGACAGAGACGCCGACACGGACGCCGACGACGGACGACGACGACGACGAGGGAGGAGGAGAAAGGACGACCACGGCGACAACGACGACGGAAACGACCACGACGCCAAAGAGGACGACGACGACGAGCACGAGGAAAGACAGAGGACGACGTAGGCGACGACGACGACGACGCGGGAGGAGGGAGGACGGCGACGACGACGACGACGACGCAAGAGCGCGCGCGCACGCTTTTGTTGAAAATCCGTGTTGCGAAACCTTGTGTTTTTGCAGGTTTTTTGGATACACGATTTTGAAGTCCTTCCGAAGCCGATGGGTTTTGAATGATTTCGGCATACGCGCGCGACGACGCGCGCGTCTGCACGTCGTTTTGTTGTTGCAGAGGATTCTCGCGACGGCACACGCGCAAGGGCGTTCGACAGATTCCGACATGCGCGCGCGCGAAGCCCGTTTGGTAGCATTTTGTTAAAATATTGAAGCACCTATGGTTTTCTTCAGATTTCGCAAGAACTCGCGCGGAAGTTCTTTTAGCCAATCAGTGTTGCGAAACCCTGTTTTTTGTATGTTTTTTTTTCGAAACTCGATTGCGAAATCCTTTCGGCACCGAAGGTGTTTGAAGGATTCCGGCATGCGCGCGCGACGACGCGCGCGTGCGCACTTCGTCTATTGTTTCGCAAAAGGGTTCGCGAAAAAGTGCTACGTTAGAACAAAACATGTCACTGCATAGTGTTTTTTTTCTACAAGGGAACCTATTCGTAGAGTCGGGGGGGGGGTAGAGTCTATTCGTTTTTAAGAACGGCATATGTCGTGCAGTCTACGTGGTGCAATCTCCGTTGTGCAATCCACCCTGCTGAACTTGAAGTCGTCATCTCCACTGGTCGCGCAAACATCCAACCCACCCACCAGCAACTTGCTTTGCAAAACCTCTTAAGACCGACTACGACGACAACGACGACGATGACACCGACGACGTTTCCGACGACTTCGACGACGACACCGACGCCGACGACGAAGACGACGACGACGACGCCAACGAAAACGACGACGAGGGAGGAGGAAGGACGACGGCGGCGACAACGACGGCAACGACGACAACGACGAGGGAGGAGGGAGGACGGCGACGACGCGCACGACGAAGAAGGAGGAAGGACGGCGGCGCCGACGACGACAACGACGAGGGAGGAGGGAAGACGACGACGACAACGACGACGACGACGACGACGACGACGACCACGGCGACGAAATAGGAGGGACGACGACGAGACGCCGACGACGGACGACGACGACGACGAGGGAGGAGGAGGAAGGACGACCACGGCGACAACGACGACGAAAACGACCACGACGCCAAAGAGGACGACGACGAACACGAGGAAAAACAGAGGACGACGTAGGCGACGACGACGACGACGACGCGGGAGGAGGGAGGACGGCGACGACGACGACGACGACGCCGCAAGAGCGCGCGCGCACGCTTTTGTTGAAAATCTTCGTTGCGAAACCGTGTGTTTTTGTACGTTTATTGGACACACGATTTTGAAATTCTTCCGAAACCGATGGGTTTAGAAGGATTTCGGCATACGCGCGCGACGACGCGACCGTCTGCACTTCGTTGTTTTTCGCAGAGGATTCTCGCGACGGCACACGCGCAAGGGCGTGCGACAGATGTCGACATGCGCGCGCGCGCGCGAAGCCCGTTTGGTAGCATGTTGTGAAGATATTGAAAAACTTATGGTTTTCTTCTGATTTCGCAAGAGCTCGCGCGGAAGTTTCTTTAGCAAATCACTGTTGTGAAACCCTGTGTTTTTGTATATTATTTCGAAACTCGATTGCGAAATCCTTCCGGCACCGAAGGTGTTTGAAGGATTTCGGCATGCGCGCGCGCGACGACGCGCGTGAGCATTTCGTCTTTTTTTTGCAAGTGATTCGTGAAAAAGTGCGACGCTAGAACAAAAATGTCACCGCATTGTGTTTTTACAAGGGAACCTCAGGGGGGGGACCCCGGCCGACCGGGGATAGTGTAAATTCATATTTAGGATGGACATGTGGTCAGAATCATATATGCTTTACATACCCGAAAAGGGGTAGCGATAACGCCGGGGGGGGGTATTATATCCGATTTTGTTTTTAGAAAGGGGAATATATGTTGCGTAGCCGATGCTGTGCATTCTACGTGATGCTATCTATGCTGTGCAAGCCAATCACTTGCTCAACTTGAAGCTGTCCTCTCCACTGCTCGTGTAAACATCCCACCCTCCCACCCGCAACTTGGTCGCAAGACCTCGTCAGACAAGACCGTGACGGTGGGTACCAGATGGCACTTGGCCACGAAACCGACGACGACAGCGACGACGACGACGACGGCGCCGCCGACACCGACGACGACGACACCGACGACGTCTCCAACGACTTCGACGACGACAGCGACCACGATGACGACGACACCGACGACGACGACGCCAACGACGACGATGACAACGACGACGCCGACGACGACGACGACGAAGACAACGACGATGACGACGACAACGACGTCGCCAACGAAGACGACGACGAGGGAGGAGGGAGGACGACGACGGCGACAACGACGACAACGACGACAACGACGACGGAGGAGGGAGGACGGCGACGACGCGAACGACGAAGAAGGAGGAAGGACGGCGACGCCGACGACGACAACGACGAGGGAGGAAGGAAGACGACGACGACGACGACAACAACGACGACGACGACGACGACGACGGCGACGAAATAGGAAGGACGACGACGAGACGCCGACGATGGACGACGACGACGACGACGACGAGGGAGGAGGAGGAAGGACGACCACGGCGACAACGACGACGGAAACGACCACGACGCCAACGAGGACGACGACGACGACGACGAACACGAGGAAAGACAGAGGACGACGTAGGCGACGACGACGAGGACGACGCGGGAGGAGGGAGGACGGCGACGACGACGACGACGACGCAAGAGCGCCCGCTTTTGTTGAAAATCCGTGTTGCGAAACCTTGTGTTTTTGTATTTGGACACACGATCCGGACATCCTTCCGAAACCGATGGGTTTAGAAGGATTTTGGCATGCGCGCGCGACGACGCGCGCTTCTGCACTTCGTCCCGTCTTTTACAGAGGATTCTCGCGACGGCACACGCGCAAGGGCGTTCGACAGATTTCGACATACGCGCGTCCGAAGTCTGTTTAATAGAATGTTGTGAACATCTTGAAACACTATGGTTTTCTTAAGACTTCGCAAGAGCTCGCGCGGAAATTTTTTTTAGCAAATCAGTGTTGCGAAACCATGTGTTGTTGTATGTTTTTCGGGAACTCGATTGCGAAATCCTTCCGGCACCGAAGATTTTGAAGGATTTCGACATGCGCGCGCGACGACGCGCGCGTGTGCACTTCGTTTCATTTTTCGCAAGTGATTCTTGAAAAGTGTAATGCTAGAACAAAAGATGTTACCGCATAGTGCTTTTTTTACAAGGGAACCGCAGGGGGGGGGGAACCCGGTTTGGCTGGGATGGTATGGTTTCAAATTTAGGATGGACGAGTGTGCATTATACATATATATATACACATATGAAATCATACTATCCCAGGGGGAACCGATAAGTCCGGGGGGGGGGACGGAGGGATAATCTATTCATCTTTTAATAATTCCTGTTCGCAGTGAGTTGTCCACTCCACTGCTCGCGCAA